CATGCTAGGTTTTTTGTAAGTTAGCAGAATAATCATTTAAAAAATCAATAGAATTGAATTTCCGATATCGGATCATTTACAGCTAATTAAGAGCTAATTTTCTACGCATCCAAAAACATTTTCAGCTAACCCAGTTTTTGGAAAAACGGTGTTGCTACCTTACCGCAAGTTAGCAGGAAAAATAGTTAAAAATTAACAAAATTTGGTTTTCGACATGGGATAATTTACAGCTCATTAGCAACTATTTTTCACGTTTCGAAAAATTGTTGAAGAAAATTTTTTTTCTCAAAAAATAGTTTTTTTTTTGATAAAAAAATTTTAATGTTTTTTTTTTCACTAACTGACGCATTTATATATACTGTTGCCCAAAATGTAGGAATGACCACATTTGCAAAAGTGATAAAAAAATCCTTTTTGACATTGGATAATTGAAAAATCATTATCGGATAATTTGTTATTATTCCAAAAGTTTTCATCTTTATGCCGTCAGAAAACAATAGCGTTGCAGCTTATTATGAGCTCATTTTATATGCACCTAAAAATTTTTCTGCTAATGCCATTTAAAAAAAAAACGTATTCATGCTAGTTTTTTTGTAAGTTAGCAGAATAATCATTTAAAAAATCAATAGAATTGAATTTCCGATGTCGGATTATTTAAAGTTGATTAAGAGCTAATTTTCTACGCTTCCAAAAAAATTTTTAGCTAACCCAATTTTTGCAAAAACGGCGTTGATGCTACCTTACCGCAAATGAGCAGAAAAAATGGTTAAAAAATTAACAAAATTTGGTTTTTGACATGGGATAATTTGGAGCTCATTAGCAGCTATTTTTTCACGTTTCAAAAAATAATTTTTTTTTTCAAAACATTTTTGTTTTTTTTCACAAAACGACGCATTTATATACTTGTGACGTATTGTCATTAATACGTCGGTTATTTGTTGAATACAATGTGACGTATTATGAATAATACGTTACATTAAATTTATAATGTGGGACGATGAGAAAAGAAATATGATTTCTTTCTCATCGTGCAGGAGCAGAGCTCAGCACTCTCACGGTGCCATCTGAGTCCAGCTTCTCGGTAAAGAAGCTGTTTGACTGTTCTAGTTGTGTGTCAATGATGACACTTAATTGTCTTAGTGTTTCGGGACCGTGAGACTGCTTGCTCTGCAATTTTAAGTCTTGAGCATTTTTACAAAGACTCTGCAAGGGCAGAGTACGATCAGGAGCAAAACAGAGCGGATCTCTGAGCTCA